TATTAATTTAGTTTATTTGTTTTATTTTAAAAGTATCTTTAATCGGTTTGAATAAATGAATAAATAACAGTACATTATTTTTGTAGATTACGATATTGGTCTAACTCGTGCCCGGCTGCAGTGGTGGTGGTAAGGATGAAGAACTTCTGCCCGAATGGTTTAAGTCGAGTTTAACCACAAGAGCGGTATAAAGATAACGGTGTTTGGACGAGAATGATACGTCATGGCGCAAGTTTGTCCTGATGGATCTTTTTTTGTTACCAAAGAAATGACGGAAGGAAAATTTCGCCTGCTTAAGGTGACCAGTGGCCGTTTCGACAGTTGTTGATAACCGTTCGGTGTCTGATATAAGGGTTTGGGTGGTTTGCGGCGATTGACTTTCGGAAACCCGATTCTATGACTTACGAGTGAACTCACCGATAGTGATAATTTTAAGTAATTAATAATTTTGATAATGATTGTAATCATTTTAATTAAGACTGTAATACACGTTAAAAGTTTACCGTTCAAACAAATATATTAATAAGTATTTATAAAACACATAAATATTGATCCGTAAATGTGAAACTGTATTGAATATGATGCGTTATTGTTACGAGTAGTTTCTGTTCGTTTTTAATGTTTTAAAGTAAAACTTTGAAAACCAAGTAAATTATAAATAGTTATTCATCGTAAACCACCAAGAACAGTAATTATTGCACTCTAAATTTTTTGGTCTTGTAAACATTTTCATGTTCAGTGTACTTACGTGTTTAAAATTTAAATTTAAATTAAACTATTTACCTAGTACTGAACAGGAGAAATATAAACCCGACTACATCACATAAGAGCAATATTTTTTACGAATAATTGTTTTGTTTATCATATCCATATTATGTTCATAACTATTGTTTAAATATATTTATATTATGGTTATAATTTATCTTCTAAGTTTATCACTAAATATTTTAATTGTTACGTAACGTTCAACTTAAAATACATATTGAACAAAATACAATATGTGAAATGTAAGTGTATTCTAAATTTATTTTACCTCATAGATTGATTTTAATATCTCTATAACAATGTATACCAAATTTTAACAAGAAATATTTATTGTAATAACTATTCAACTCTCCATGCATATTCTATGGAAGTGTATTTATGAAAAGTTTAATGAAGTATTTATCATTTTTAAATGCAAAAAAAAAAATTTATATTTAGAATTTTTAAATTGTAAAATCATGGATTTCTATTATACTAATTTTTTGGAGAGATTCGAACAAAAATCCATTAATACATCAAATCTTCTTATCTAATGAATATATTGTAATATTATTATCAAAAATCGCATTAATTTAATATAACCGTCTTTATCTCAATCACAATGAATGCCATCGGAACGTTATAGGTTATTTTCAATACATTAAAATGTGTTATGTCATTTAAACTCTGTAGTTTCAAAATATTATTAAAACAATATTTTTAATGTTAAAGCTACCCCATACCGTCAATAAATATTGAACCTGTTATTACACTGAAAATATATAAGAATTCTTAAAGATCGGTTTCGTTGGGAATAACAAAAAAAAAAAAAAAGGTTTATGTGATGAATACAATTTTATTATAACATGGTCACTCTAAACACTATTGTGTTCAAATACTTTAATTTCAACGGTTATTTTAATATTCACGATGATCGAATTTTTGACACTTTTATTTTCAAAGTAAACGGTTGTTTTTCATCTTCCTAAATACAAGAATAATTTAGCTAATAAATCCAGTGGACGTTTTGACAATGATGAAAAACAGCGGTTTCGTTATTATAAATAGCTGACAGATTTTTGCTCGGAAACGAAATGAATATATTTTAACCATACAGCGTTTAGTTGTCTTTAAAACTTGGTTTTTAATAAGCTTTCGAACATTCAGTTATAAGGACTTCACGCAAATGGAACACGCTAACAAACGCGTAAAATGTGTTGTTATTGTTATTATTATTTATAACTATGATAAGTAACGGATTTAATAAAGATTGACACGTATGAAAATATATGCATTATATATTAATCCATTTAGAGATGTAAATGAATAATTGAGTTGCCTATTACTAGTTTTTAAGAATAATGAATATTAATCATTTAATCAAAATTTTTTCGACACGAAAAGTTATTGTAACTATAAAATGTTCAGGTGAATGTTAAAATAAAATACATAAAAATTCTACGGACAAAAGAAAATATAATATGCAACATAATTTCGAAAATCAAATTAATAACTTCTAAACAGTGCATAAAAGTAATTTAAATTATAAAATGAGCATACGTAAAAATCAAATTTCTGTTTTCTCAAAAATAGTATAATGTTATCATATTTTATTTTATTTTATTTTTTTTTTTTTTTTTTTTAATAGAGTGGTGGTTAGTGAATCACTGCAAACGGGATGTTTTGCGGAGCTTGGGGTAGATTTTTTCACGGGGTTCTAGATTTTTTTTTTTTTTTGGGATTCCAAAGAAAAATTTCTTGGGCGCCTTAGTACTAGTATGACATACTTTTTATTTTACATAACTTATGTAAAAACATTTTGGACACACATATTTATCGAGAGTCCCACGTTCTTTTTTCTGTAACCGTTTTTTCTTTTTTCAGCTCCATAAATATGCTTTCGAAATATGTCACGGCTAGACATTTTGATTTTTAAAAAAAAGTTTGAGATAAGGAACTCAAGAAAAATATTTGGTAATAAATATCAAAAATGTCCAAAAAGTATCACTATAACGACAGTTGGTTTGGTACCCGTGGCACCGTGATTAATGCTAGTTATGAAGTGAAAAACTTATATTGACGATTGTAACTATTTGGAAATAATATTAATATAAATTATTCTTTATCATTGTCCAGTGGTAAAGTCTACTACAATAGATTACACGCAGTCATATGCCAGTTTAGAAGTAATAATTATTGAAATACAAATACGAGTAACATGACGAACAATAACACGGGCAAGCTAAAAACACTCTGTTGATTATTCCTTAGTATGGATATTATATTTTATCATCAAACCATCAACAATATATAATTGATTGATCATTTATTATTGTCATACTATTTATACTATAATATAAATACCTACTAAATGTAGTAATGAAGTTAAAGATTAATATAACGTACAAAATTTCACATGACAATAATCACTTTGTGTTAGATTTTCAAAACTAAATTGTAGGTTTACAAGACATTAAATCCCATGAAAATACGGAGTTCTGGACAGTTCCTCTTTCTGTCTTGCTTTCCTACCAGCGCTACTGTTGATATTTGAATTTGTTATTTTACATGATAAAAACAAAAAAAAAAACGAAATCTAAAACCAATTGTTCGTACGGTGAGTTATCTGTCATTATTAAAATGTAAATACATTTTATTGGATTAAAAGTGTTACGTGTGCAGAACATTAATACGCGTATATTGCGAAATCTTCTTCTCGAGTATATTGTTTCGTATTACCATTGATTATAGAATAAACTGATGTCCCATGCAATGTTAATATTCGGTTCCACTTATTGGATGCAACAGCTCTGGAGCTCTAGTGTAGTTTGGATGTAAATATGATGGTGCCCCCATCATAGGTGGATGTAGCAAGCGAAGGGGGTTGAGGTTCTAGCTGGTGATTTGTAACGAGGTGCGAGGGGAAACTCATCATAGTCGTTTTAAAAATCGAATATTTTTTCCAAACGGAAGATTGAAATACTGTTATAAATATTTTATTGCATAATAATAATTATTATTGTACCAGTGTAATAAAAATGAAAATGAAAATCTCGTATTTCGTTTATCGTGCTACAAATAAATCAAATTTCGATTGATAAAGATAATTAAAAATATCATGTTGTATTAAAATTATTTGTTAAAATTATTTGTTCTGACATTGTACCTATACGAGTTAATGTTATTTTGTTATTGACTCGTACGAATTTGTAGGCAAATCAAATACATAGCTTGCTAACAAGATCTACAAAAATGTTTTTTTTTTTTTTATAATAAAATTGATATTTTCTTAAGTTTGTGATTAATAAAACACTATTTTTTCATTGTATATTGAATTAAGTGTAAATTCAGAAAGTATTCAACGAGAAAAAAAATTAAAAGAATTATAATAAATAAATCAACCTTTTACTATATAAAACAAATATCATGAATATACTGTTGATTGTTGTTTTTTTTTAATGAGTTTTTCATTTGGGTTTTATCGAATGTTGGCGAATTCATCATACTTAAAGTCAACTGAAATTTCATCCGAATACGTCACGACCATAATATTTTTTTCGTAAAAACGTAATTTCGTATACAATATCGATGCTTCCGAAAAAAAAAAACATTTTTTTATAATTGTGAAAAATATGAGATAATCAATAGATAATTTTAATAACGTCATATAATTTTTAAACCGAATTCAATTACAGGTCATCAATTGGGACAAATATTCTGAATAAGATCAATTTGGCTGCACACAAAATAAAATGTATCAAAAAAAAAAAAAAAGTTTTTGTACAAATTCTTTATAATTATATCCCTTGTGTTTGTTATTTATTTTATATACTTAAAAGAACAAAAAGTCGGTACATTGAATTAATTATTGAGCTGCAAAAACGAATAATTTGAATCGAGTGCACCAAAACGTGTGCGTATATTGTACTGTTGGCGTAATATTTTTCGCGTTCCGACCGCAGACATTATTGGAACGGATCGCGGGAAACCATTTATATTCGTGTTCTACAAAAGTCATTCGAATCGGATGTAAAGTTAGCGCGGGTATTACACTTATGGAAGCTACTACCAACTACCCATTTTTTTCCAAGCAACGCCGTCTACTAAATTTTTTACTTTTTTTTTTTTAATCCAGCACTTACCGGTAATCATATTTAACCGTCCGAGTGATTTTTAACGTATAACAAATGTTTTCACACAACAACAATTATAATAATTATTATTATTATTCGCTATATATGTACGTGTACACCTACCGTTGACGTCGCGATATACTGTGAACGATATACGTTTACGGTAACATAGTGTTACGCAGTTAGTATATACGATTTACGAGAGACGACTTGCAGAAAGTTGTGACGGCGACCGGGCGAGCGTGTCGTCGGTGACTGCCCGTGTGGGCACGTGAAGCGTGTGAGTCAGAACACCAGATAGAGAGAGAGAGAGAGAGAGAGAGAGAGAGTGAGAGAGAGATGGAAAGTGATAAACGGAATAGAGATAGTTTCCGCGCGACGACGAAGATGACGAGGACGACGGTGTTGCGAATGGAACACGTCGCGCGCGAATACGACTTTTTCGCCGGACGTCGCGCGCGTGTCGGAGCGCACGGGCCGATTGAGTGACACAACGGCCGCCGCGCGACTACGAACACGCGTTCGGCCGGACACGCCGCGCCCCCCGCCCACCGCGATCGCGGACGCCGGCGCCGCCGCGCGAACGACGGCCGATCGCGAACGGACAGTGCGCCGCCGCCGCTCCGTCCGCGGCCACGCGGTCCGCTGCTATCCGGCACGATTTATCGCTTACGATATTTCGGCGCACTAGTCGCACCAACAAGGCACGTTTTTTTTTTTTTTGTTTAATATTAATTTTTAATATTTTTTAAATTTTTTCGTATAATAATCGTTTTCACTTTTTTTTACGATCTCCACCAACAGATTTTCAGTAATTATCCTACTGCCGTACAATGCCGTACGTGTATGATAACTTTGAACGTTCTAATCGTTTTCGACATCCCTTGGTACATTCCGTTTGTACCGACTTACTTTTTTTTGTTACCATCGTACGATTAACATTTTCTGACGCCAGGTACATGGAAATCCCTCGTCCCGTTCGTGGCCACGCGATTCGCCGACAACGCATTCGCCGGTCACGATTTTTGAGTTCTGGAATTTTTTTTCTTTTAACCGTCAATTATGTATCAACAAGCTTTTTTTTTTTTTTTATAATTATATCATAGAATCACTTCCGCCATTAATTTATCTATCGATTTCTACTAACAGTTAATTTATATCTCTAGCACCGGTACACCGTATAAAAAAATAAAAAAATATGGAACATTTATGAGGTACTCAATTTCGCAACTCAGTTTCCGTATAGTCGCATTCTTGTAAAAATATGTTGTTGTACACGAATACGGATTCCCTTAAGGTTAAAAATAGTACGTTTTTAGTTTATATGCAAAAAAAAAAAAAAATACAGAAACACTTAGTTTAACAGTGCTATATGAGTATATTTTGAATAAACTTTATATAATATCCTTATAATTTATTATAAGCCTACCTTAAAGCGATAAATTATAGTTAATTATTCGACCGTGAAAAATAATGCTGAACCGTTTCTTGTACATTCCGTAAATCGTAAACACTTTGTGGTCAGTATATAATAATGTAACTTATTTTAATGTACTATAATATCTTTAGATTGCGATAAGTTAATTAATATTTTATAACCCTTGTATTTTTCGAAGATTGAATTAAATAGGTGTTATTAAACCGCGGATTATCATACGAACCATGACTATGAACGTACAACTTACACTTGATATAGGCGTGTTTAAACACATCAAAGAATTTCCAACACTCAATAAAATTATTTCTCCCTCGCGTGTTTTTAAATCATAGGGTAGACCATGGAACAACCATACTATTATTATAAGTATTTTTTTCGTTTACAGAAAACAACAGAACAAAATTAATTAACTCTGCAATGTAATCGACAGTACGTATACGAGAGTATAATTTTATTTTTCAAAATAACAGAGTATTTGCGAGTGTACAGTACAGGTAAAAAAAACAAACCATTGAATACAATTTTTGAATGCGAATAAAGGTGTATAACAATTATATAGCGTATCAAACAAAGTCAATGAAAACCGCATTAATCACACAATGGCGAAATCCGAAAACAAAACATTTACAGCAAATGTATTGCGAAAAAACATATTTCGAATACATTATTCGTAAATTATTATTAAAACTATTAAAATATTGCTTACTAAATGGACAATATTGTTCGTTATATGTTATAAAAAATGGCATTAAAACAAAAGAAATTGACTTTTACTCTTGCATTTGTACTTATGGTTAACAATGAAATATATAACTGTTAATATTTAAAAATAATATATCGAATAAAATGAGAGTTACGCTGGCATCTGCAGGTTAAAATAACTATTCAAAACCGATACCAAAATTTGTTACATAATTTGTACAAATTTTTAAACGCATTTTGAAAATGTGTACATCCTCCTTTAGGGTGAAAAAACACTTTTTCATTTCAGATGCCAGCGTAACGTTACTCAAGCATCCGCATTCATAATTTTTATCTTAGACACTCAAAACTAGTACCAAAATTTGTTATACAATTTGTAAAAACCGATTTTCCCTGATTTGAGAGGGTGTAAAAATTTTGGAATCGTTATTACAAATTTGTATAAATTATATAGCAAATTTTAGTACCAGCTTTAAGTAGTTATTTTAATCCGCGGATGCTAGCGTAACTTATCTCCGAATAAAACCCGAGCACCGTGTAGACAAATTTTTCGAGTGGTCCACTTGGTTTAGATAAATGCGCGACATTCGTTGGCTTCTAAGACAATTTTTGACTCTATACGCAGATAATACGTCTAAGAATACATTGTAAATTATGAAGCATAATGTACCTAAGTATGATTTTCTAAATTAACAATCGTAAATCAAATGCATAATATAGAAAACGCGTTCAATTTATCAAAATATGTTCACAGTCTACTTATTTTCCAGTTATTTGTACTTCGAGAACAATATAAATGCATACACACTTGATAATAATTTATTTAGTTTCGAGTTTCAATCCAAACTTTGAGATTTTATGTAATTTTCACGGTTAAAATATTTGAGAAAAATATTACTAACAATTTAATTACGAGTATGTATGCTGATTTTAGTAATAAATTATCTTACCTTACGTTCAGATAGGTAAAATCTATTTTAATTGTTGTAGCTGCGAATATTATCTCCCGTCGTGGAAGTTCTAATGAAATTTGACAATTTTAATTTAAATAATTTAAACTTTATAAACTGTGTTGACATACATACCACCGAAATCATTTATTTTTTTTTTTTTTATCAAAAATTGTAATACTTAACAAATAATCCAAAATAATGAGGCATTTGTAGTTACAAAACATGCAAAAAAAAAATAATAAATAATCTTGATGAATTTTTTGTTTTTAGCTTTTTTAAGGTAATCGAACAGTATGAAAATCACTACTTATGCATTCCTCATTGAATATAAATACTATTTAATTATGAATTTAATGTCTAATGTTCGTGTAATGTTTTGAACATAATTTAGTTTTTGTTTTAGTTATAACAGCGGTGAATTTTGAGGCTCATTACAGGTTTTGTAATTTTCTCAAAAACTAAAAAAAAAGTATAGTTTTACCGTTTTTAAGTATCTGTACAATCTGTGTTCTATTTTTAATCAATAAATGGGCTAGATGAAAGTTTTTGAGCACTTCTTTTACCGTCGAGCAATTGTTCAAAGTGTTCGTAGACATAAAAATTACGCACACAAGCACATGCACTTCTTGTAAAACCAATAGATTCATTGCTCATATCTATTGGTCAGAACGAAATGCAAAGTTTATCGATTTAGAAATTATAAACTTTTATTTTCATTTAATCAAAATTGATAACCATTGCCGAACGAAACGTAATTATTTTTGTCAGACTTTTACTTTTTTTTTTTTATATTAAACCAACAATATATTAAAAATTATAATAGTTTGTTTTGATAATATATTATAAATTATATTAAATAATATTTTTCTATGCACTTTAATTTATTTTTAATCAGTATTTTTTATTTAATTTTCATATTATCAAACCCGGTGATTGTTTGTAGCTGAAAATTTAAATATTTATATTTTATTAGCTGTTATACTTTTGACTTGAATTTAAGATAATATACGCTGTATACGTTTATAATTATTGTGAATAAACGCACATTTAATACGTTGAGGTATTGCTTTTTTTAGGCATTTTTCCGTTTTTTAAACGTTAGCTAATTTATAACAAATTACGAGAGAAATAAAAAAAAAATTAAAAAATTCTAAACCCCTGCAACACGTATCAAGGGAAATGATTTTTTTTATTAAGGTTAAATCGTGGTTCCAATGAGGTTTTTGTATCAATCTTCGGTGGCGTCGAATCCGTCCGACCGTATCGGTGGAGCGGTACTGTGGCATCACACATACTCACACGAACACACACATACACTGCGTATACGCACGCACACATGAGCCGACAGGAGTTAGAAGACTTGTGCAATTGTGTTGATTCTCTAGGGGAATTAAATGCTAAAATTGGGTAAAACTCTTTTCCGTTCAGCGTCTCTTAAAGCGAACGGGAACACAAGCGCGTACGACTAAGGCCGATGAATATTGCACTTGTACGCAAGCGACCTGACCGCGAACTCCATCGCCAAACACTACGTGCATAATTTGTGCACGTGCCGACAACGGAGTACATTGATTTTATCGTACAGTACAATTTCTCCGCCCTAAGCCGATTTTCCGAGACTAATCGGACGGTTAACAGCGAACATCCGGCTATTTATGGGCAACTTAACGGTTATCAATACTTACATTCACCGACGAACGGTTCTGACAAAAGATGGTTCACGATAGTGTTATTAAAAATTATCATTATTTGAATGTTTGTAAAAATAATATAATACCTATAATCTTTTTATACCTGCTGATGGTTTAACTGTTTGAACACGTCTGCGCGAGGATGAAACGATAATTTTCCCCTTCGAGTTAAATTCCTGCGAGCAAGTGCCCCTTTAACGCACACATTTCGTAATTATATCACTACTGCCCGTTGGCGTTACTTAATTCTTTCTCTGAACTTCAATGGGTGTATTTATAATATAAATTTTAACTCCAGTTGAAGTATCAAGTCATCGTTCCCTTGTCAAATGAATAACACGAATCGGACGATATTATTAAACGTTATTAATTAAATGACGGTCATGAAATAAAAATTATAAAGCCATCATCAGTTGCAGTACGTATATTGTAAAATAACACATTATAATGTTCGGCTTGAACATGACGATTTATAAACACCAACACATAGTGTCATCCCTAGACCCTTTTATGTGGATGGGGGTGGGGTGAATTTCAATCATGTATTCACGTTTATTTATCCTAGTATGATATAAATAATAAATAACAAAATTTTGAAGTAAAAAAGACCATGGATGGGGCTGCTCCATTTGTCCCTCCTGAGGACGCCTCTGCGAACACGTGTAGGTAATACGTATTACAACTTCGCGAATGTTTTCGTAAGTGATTATAAA